CGCTGCGTGGGCGTGCCGCCTCCCCCTCTGACACCGAAGAGCCTGCGCCGGCGGGGCATGCCTTGCCCCCTTGCCCTGTTCTGTCTGTGAGCTTGGGATGGTCTCTGCCCTGAGGGACCACAGGAGAGCTGGTTCCAGCTGCTGGGGTGGGAGGGCACCAGAGGAGGCAGAAGGGGGCCCGACCTCGCCGGGGTCTGCACCGGGGAAGGCTGTGAGTGGTGCTGTAGGAGCTGCTGTGCCAGTTGCTGTGAGGACCTGCCCTTCGCAGCCGCTCTCAAGGCAGGGTGGGGGACGCTTTCTGCTGGGGCCCAGCTTGGCGCCAAACTAGATGGAAAAAAGGCAAATACCAGCACTGAGCCAGAGGCCTGGCAGCCTCTGCCGGGTGCTGAAGGAAAACCTGCCAGAGCGAGCTCTGCTGCCGGGCTGCCTGGGAGGCAAGGGTGGGCCAACCGGCAAGGTGCTTTTGGCATGTACTAGTGCGGAATGTTTGGGCTGATCTTTGTGTGAACATCAGAAAGGAGGGCCCAGGTTGGGGCGCAGTGCAGCTCCCACCTCCCCGGCTCCCCTGTGTCACTGTGCTGCAGCCCTTCCCTCAGCAGTCGGCACCTCCGGTGTCCCACGAGGTGTGAGGACGATGCTTATCCCGTCTCTGGCACGATGGCACGCGTGTGCCCTGTGGGGCTCTTCTGGCCTGATCTCCCAGCCTGTCTGGCTGATGCAGTCCTCAGCCTGGTGCTTGTTAGGCATCTTAGCTCTGCCCTCTCGGCTGGGGAGAGGAGCTGCCTGTCTCTGGGGCCAGGGGGTGGCCGGCATGTTGGTGTCCGCCTGCCCAGGCTGTCCTGTCCTGGGAGGCTGCATGTGGAGCAGCCCTGCTCGCCGCAGGTGGCCTGGGCAGCAGGACAGTTGCGCTGCTCGCCCCGCGCTGGCGCTGGGAGCCTTCAGGGATCTGGGCACCATTGAGACTCGTGGTGCCCCCTGCAACGCCAGGGTTCGTCGAGTTCCCCCATGGCACCAGGGCTCATCGGGCCCCTGGCATCGCCGGATTTCCTGTGGCAATGGGATGTATTGGATCCCGCTGGCGCTCAGCGAGTCCCTGAGCACCTCGGACCACCCACACCTTCGCAGGCACTCGGTGCCCTCCGGAGACCTGCACCCTGATTGGCTGCTCCGCACGATCACTGGCACGGCGAAGGGCTGCCTGTGGATAATCCTCCTGGAAGCTGGGCTGCGATTGGCTCGCGGGGCACCCCCACCCGCTGAAGCAGACCTGCAA